AAAAAAAAAAAAAAAAAAAGATACTATCCAAAGTTAAAAGGCAGCCCAGAGAATGGGGAAAAACATTTGCAAATCATCTCTCTGATTAATATCCAGAATATGCAGAGAGGACGTCTAAAACTCAACCATAACAACAACAAAGCCTGACTAAGAAACAGGCAAAGGCCTTGAATAGATATTTTTCCAAAAACGATCTATGAATGACCAGTGAGCACATGGAAAGATGCTCAATGTCATGAAGCATTAGGGAAATGTAAATTAAAACTATAATGAGATACAGTCTCATACCCATTTGGAGGGCTTCTATCAAAAAAGCAGGAGATGTCGAGAAACTGGAACCCTTGGGCACTGCTGGTGGGGATATAAAATGGTGCAGCCACTGTGGAAAACAGTATGGCAATTCCTCAAAAAATTAAAGATGGAATTACTGTTTAAAAAAAAAGGAATTACTGCATGACTGAGCAATTCCACTTCTGGGTATCTGCCCCCCAGAAATGGAAAGTAGGGTCTTGAAGAGATACCTGCACACTCACATTCACACAGAATTATTCACAATAGCTAAAATGTGGAAGCAACCCAAGTACCCATTGATGGATCGATCAATAAGCAAACTGTGGCATATAAATACAATGGGATATTATTTGCAATATGCTACAACCTGGATGAACCTCGAAGACGTTATGCTAAGTGAGATGAGCCAGTCCCACTTACATGAGGTACTGAAAGTAATCAAAATCGTAAAGACAGAAAGAATAACGGTGGTTGCCAGGCCCTGGAGAGAATGGGGAATGGGGAGTTTCAGTTTTACAAGAGAAAAAACGAGTTATAGGATGGATGGATAGTTGCTCAACAATGTGAATGCATTTAACACCCCTGAACTGTATACTTAAAAATGGTTAGGATGGTAAATTTTATGTTATGTATATTTTACCTCAATAAAGAAATTCATCTGCTTAGAAAAAAAAGAAAAGAATAAAGTCCCAATGCAATATTACAGCAGGTAGGAAGCCTGAAAGCATTATGCTAAAGAATCCAGTCACAAAAGGCCAGACATCGTATGAGTCCATATAAATCCCTAGAGACAGCAAGTTGTTTAACGGTGGCCAGGCGCTGGGGCTGAGGAATGACTGCTAATGAGTATGGGGTTTCTTGCAGGGATGATGAAAATGTTCTGGAATTATACAATAGTGATGGTTGCACAACTCTGTCAGTAGACTAAAAACCACTGAACTATATGTTTTAAATGGGTTAACTGTGTAAGAATTATACCTCAATGAAGTTGTGAAAAATTATTTTAAAAAAAGGTTGATGCTTTTGTAGAATCAACTCTATAGCTTTAGACCAGAATACTCTGAGACAGGAGTAAAATCACCCCTTGTGGTCGTTACCTGCAAATGAGAGCTGCTTTAGGCGGGCATTTGACCGAGCTTCCTGGACTTTATCTGTCAGTGACTTCCAGGCATCTGTGAGGAAATAAAATATTCCATCAATTATCTCTAACACCAGTGGCAAGCTAAAGCATTGAGCTTAGAATCCTTACAGGGTGAAAACACCCTGCTAAAATGGCTTTTTGTTGTTTTCTTAGTTTCGATGAGTTCCGTGCATAAGAAAGCGGCCGAGAAGGTGCATTATCCAACAGCTGGGAGGCTCACGCCTTCTGAAAATGACCCCTGAATCCCCAAAGCATTCACATCCTTTGATGGTAGTCTGGGTCCCAAACCTGAATGCTGGATATCACTTCTACTCCCTATGCCTCTAAACAAAACAATACTAGCGTTAACGATTTAACCCAGACTACGGGGAGACCTTAAACCTCTGTTCTGTAAAACTAAGGGGGTGTGACTAGAAAACCTCTACAATCCCTTCCAGCTCCAACTTAAGATTCTAGGATCTCCTACTGTCTGTTGGGCTCGTTACCACCACTTCACACTCAGTGTGTTGTACATGGAACTCATACACTCAATGTAGTCTTTCTGTTCTCCTTATCTTTTTTTTTTTTAAATATCTTTTTTTTTAGTGATCCAGGCCTGAATCTTCAGAGTCACATTGGACTCCTCTCTCTACTCTCCATATTCAAGCAGTCCTGGAGAGTGTCTGTTCATTCTTTCCTGCTGGGAACGGGCTTTATTACCTGACATCTCTACTGTAGCGATGCCCTCATCAGTGACCTCTTGCCACCTCACGTCTCCAATTTAGTCCACCTTAAAGGGAGCTACCACGTTAAGCTTCTTGAAGTTCTGCTTTTATTCCATGTCCCCAGATTTTCAAAGCCTCATGGTTTGGCACTGAAGGCCCTTCCAAAACCAGTGCCCAATCCACCTTCGCAGTCTCCTCTCTCACTAGTACCTGACTGGGATTTCAACATCCCCTCCCACCTGAGGGCACTCTACTCCCACCACGTGCAATCCTAACTTTGCTGATGTCCCTTTTTAGAAAGCCTTTCTCATTTCTCTTTTCCTAACCCAAATTCTGTTATCTCCTTTAACGGACTCTTCTATTCTACCATTCTTCCTGGGTTTGACAACCCTAACTCAGCCCCAGGGATCTTTCCTTCAAATTCCTCTATTACTTACTGCCTAGATAACATTCAGTAGTCCTACAGTAGCTAATGAACACCTATATGCTTGGGATACAACGAGGAGTGAGAAAATAAAATGCCAGCCTTTCTAGGAAGTTCCCTGTTGAGTAAGATGTAAAAAAGTAAACAGACTTTATAAAAACAAAATTTAAGCTATAAGAAAAGCATTTAAGATTCTAAAAGGAGCAGAAAGGAGGGAATGGGAGTGCTTATCTGCCTCAGAAGGTCAGGGAAGACTTTCCAGGCTGAACCCTGAAGGACAAGGTAGAGTTCACCAGATAAGCCAGGGTAAAAGAACATTCTGGGCAGAGGGAAGAATTGGGTGAAGGCACAGGGGTGAGAGAGAATGGCATCTGAGGTACACAAAGAAGTGGTAGAAAACACGACCGGAGAGAGAAGACGTCTCACGTGCTCTGCTAAGTTATGGACTATTACTCCAATAACACCAACTTCTTAAGGACGAGTTAGGTGTATAATGCCATCAAGTATCTTCTGTAACACCAAGTGCACAAAACTGCCCACGTCAACAGTACTAATACAAGTAAGTGTGGATCTGGCTGAGACAGAGCTTGCACTGGTGAGACAACCACAATTTTTTTTTTTTAAAGTAACCTCTACACTGAACGTGGGGCTCGATCTCATGATCCTGAGATCCAGAGTCAGAAGCGCTACCGACTAAGCCAGCCGGGCGCCTCATTTAATCCTCTCACCTTCAATACTTTCTGCACAGATCTGGAAGCCATCATCACTTGAAATTTCAAAAACAAGTCCTTTCTTGGGCTTTTTCTCAGCAATGCTTTCTTTCCTCTTCTGTTCTTGCTGGAGCCAAAGCATCAGTGGAGAGCTGAAATTACTTTCTTCTTCTTCCACTGTTTTAGGTTCTATGAGGGAGAAAACAGATAGGGGCCAAAGTGAGCACTGATACCTTCAAGCCTACCAACATTCCACAGTTGGTATGATTACTCCCATTTACAGATAACAAAACCAAGACTCAAAGATGTGGAGCAACTGGCCCTGGGTCATAGCTGGAAAGTGACTAAAACTAGGTTTTTTTGTTTTGTTTTACCTGAAGTCATGCTGTCTCTGTGGTAGTTTCTGGTATGACAATTTGATAGTTTTTCAATAAGCAATTGCCCTCAATAAGGTCAAAGCTAAAAAATAATAATGATTAATATGAATGAGGCACTATACATGAGGCACTCTTCTAGGAACTTCCTGTAGATTAATTCAGATAAACCTCACAATGACCCAGTGAGGTGTTATTATTATGTACAGTTCAAAGGTGAGAAACCTGCGACAGAGAGATGGTAAGTAACTAGCCCAAGTTCATATAATTAGTAAGTGGTAAGCTGAGATTTCAACCCATTTGGCTCCAGAGTCTGCCATCACCCTGCCCTGCGTTCTGACAGAAAGAGGTGCCTCTGTCCTCTTCAGGAATGAGCCAACTGACAGAATGTGATTACAGCCCAAGTGTTATGCCTGAGCATTTTCTCTATCTTCCTCTCTTCTGGGAAGTTCCCTCGATGGAAATGGGCAAACCTTACATCCAGACCTCTCTAATCTTGAAGTGGCCAGTTCTTAATGATCAAATTCAGTAGTACAGATGGAAAGTGCTATAGAGATATATCTGTGGTTGTGACCAGATACATGGTTTTCTTCAGCGACAACTAAGGGACGAGGTCAGGTAACCACTAGCTATTAAGACCACACTGCTGTTAAAGCAAGTAGAGCAGAATAATCGACAGATGTCCCAGACTCTATAGTGGAAGGGCACCGGACCAGGGAATAGATGCCCTGGTTAGTCTACACCTTTGGCCCATCACTTCTTTGGAGCTTAAACTTTTTAATTTAGAAAATGTGTAGATAATGCAGGCAATTTTTATAGTACTTTTGACTTTGAAATTCTAATTCTAACCTGTTACCCACCCACATACCTGTACCTTCTTGCTCATTTGCTGGATTTTGTGTTGCCTGAATCTCAGGAAGAACTTGCCTAAATGAGAAGAAAACGCAGTGTGAGACATAGCAACAGCTACTCTTCAATTCAAAGATAAAAACTGTCCACGTCGGCCATACCACCGTATCAATTACATAAAACTACTAGAAATGGACCATAGGATGTCTTGCATATAACCTGTTGGATAAACATCACCACACTACTGTATGGTACGTAACATAAAACTCTTTTATGAGACTCTTTCCTAAATATTGACATTAAATTTGGGCTTTTGGAGTTTGTAGATTATGTCCTTGAAATTTTTCTCATACCCTCAGTATTAGAAAAAAATGAAAGGACACTCGTTAGAAGCAGTTCTGGAGTTACTTAAGTAAATTAACCGATTTAACTAAAAACAAAAGCAAGCTGCAAGAGCCAGTAAACCATAACCAATTTTCATTTTTGAAAATTAAATAAATCTTGGAAACAACCCAAATGCATATCAATAAGGGGCTGTTTAAATAAGTAAAAAAAAAAAAAAACCCAAGTACAGAACATTATGCTTCTGTACTCAATGCACGTTACAAAGGTATATATATATTCATATATACACCGTGTGTATCTGTATTTGTATAGAAACGTGTACATGGATGAAAACACATTATTAGCAACGGTTATTACCAGGGAACAGAAGGGAGGAGGGCAGGCAGGACGAACATGGAACCACTCATCTCTTATTTAAGTAATCATGCATTAAAAAAATTGTACGTACGTATTACTTCCATTAAAAAAAAAAACTTCGGTACCAAGAACAATACAAATGAGGAAGAATTATTTTTTAAATGAGGTGAACAAAACGGAGGGCTTTAACCTTAGACAAATGATCTTCGTATTTACCCTGTGGGCTGCCCACACTCCTTTGACTGTTCCACATTAGCTGTGTCCTGCTGCTCAGTCTCTGCTCCTGGAGTCCTGGAACAGAATCATTGGATCTTTTCAAGAAAAACCACCAGTAAATGTGTACTGAATGTAGAGGTCAGTCTAAAGAAATGACTCTGTCAGGATCTGATAAAACTTATGAGCTGGGAAAACTCATCTGTGCTGCTAACAGGTTAGCCAGTGGTTACCTTGAAGGCATTCTGACTAAGAGAAGGCACAAGGAGCCTTCTGGAACACTAGGAATGTTTTTTTTTTTTTAAGATTTTATTTATTTATTTGAGGGAGAGAGAATGAGAGATAGAGAGCACGAGAGGGAAGAGGGTCAGAGGGAGAAGCAGACTCCCTGCCGAGCAGGGAGCCTGATGCGGGACTCGACCCCGGGACTCCAGGATCATGACCTGAGCCGAAGGCAGTCGCTTAACCAACTGAGCCACGCAGGTGCCCAACACTAGGAATGTTTTATATCTTGATCAGAATGGTGGCTACATGGGTGCATACATATGTAAAATTTCACTTCTGTACTCAATGCACGTTACACCCCATGCTTTCAAAAAAGGACTTCATGAGGATCTACAACAGGTGGCTTTGCCCACCAGACAGGAATAATCATCATCCCTCAGTATCCTAAGACTCAGCAAAAAACCCCCAAAACAACAACAACAAAACCCAAAAGCAACAAACCCAAGAGCAAACAGCAGCATTGTTTTAAATCAGAGCAAAGGGGGTCCTGGGTGGCTCAGTCGGTTAAGGGTCCGACTCTTGATTTCGGCTCAGGTTATGATCAAGGGTTCTGAGATTGAGCACCCCATTGGGCTCCGCTCTGGGCATGGAGCCTGCTTGGGATTCTCTCTCTCCCTCTGCCTGTCCCCACCCTCCATAAAAAACAACAAAAAAACCCCCACAAACCCCCCCAAAAAAACCCCCAAAACAAAGAGTAATTAGAGATGTGGTTCTATCCGAGAGACAAACTGCCCACGGATGGAGCTAAATTTTGCTCTATAAATCACCACTGTGAGGAAAAAAAAAAAAGTCAAAACCCAGAACAGCCCTGAGTAATGCAACGTGGACAAAAGAGTGTCCTTCCCAGGAAAACTGCCACTTCAACAGCCTCTCGTCCAGAGCAAAGACAATCCCACCTACCCAGAGTAGTAGCTAATATTTCGATCTCTCACCCTGTGACTGAGGTCAGGGATGTCGTGCTGGCTTCTTGGTCTGGAATGTGTGCTTCAGAAGAACTGGTCCGCAAATGGGAAACTTTGTGCTTCTTGCCATTCCCTTTGTCCAAAGGCAGCTGAAACCGTTTGATTTTTGGTTTGGGTTTGGTGGGAGCCGGCACCGCGGGGCTTGCTGAGGGCTGTCCAGAGGATGGAGAGCCCCCGGGAGAGGCCGGGCTGGCTTGCATAGCTGAGGATAAAGCCTTATTCTGCTCTAGCCCCATGCTATTAGGAGCATCTCCTGTCTGGGCGAAGGTGGATCCCTGGGTCCCTGCAGCAGAATCAAGTTCGCGCTGGGACGGGAGAATCCCAGTTTTGCTGGCAAGGAGCTGGTTCACGCGCTGAAGCTGATAGTGTTCTTCCGCTTCCCCAGAAGGAGAGGCAGCTGCGACGCCCGCAGTCTGAGCAGAGGGGAGCACACAGATGCTAGACGCCGCGGCCCCCAGTTGTGGAAACATTCCCGCGCTGGGCGGTAGAGCTACGGGCTGGTCCTGCATCCCCAGGCTCTGCTGGCTAGCTTTGATTAAAAGGTTGCTTATTGAGCCAATATCCGGGGCACTGAGCAACCTGGGGTTGGTTAACGCAACATGTCCCGGAACGGACGCGCTACTTGTAGGGGCGGTTGTGGTCTGCATGGACACAACATTCAAGACGGAGGCACCGGACGCCAGGCCGGACCCAGGCCCCGCGGTGAGGTGGCCAGTATCCTGGCTTACGGTGGACGCGCCCGCCGCCGCGGCACTCTGGGGTAACAGGGGTGCCTGTTCAAAATACATGATGCCAGATTTAGACCTTTTTATGATGTTGGGGACAGTTCGGTGAGATGACGTATTAAGTGACCCCAGATCTAACAGATTGGGATGGTTTGGCAGCTGGGAGGGTGTGAAGTTAATCAGGGTCATGTTAGAGACCACATCGGAAGGGGCAATGGTTGAAGGGGTGCTAGAGGGAGCGAGTTTTTTATTCTTTCGGGTCTGTAGACGAGATATGGGTCTTTTCTTGAGTCCAGAGGATGGAGTGGCTACTGTGGTACTGAGGTCTGTCCTCTGGCTGGCTTCTGAAACCAAAAGTTGGGGATCTGGAGGAGGCTGAACCCCAATAAGTAGGCCTGAAGGAGGACTGCTGATGTTAGGTGGGAAACTACTTTGAGCAGCTGCAGGGAAGGAATGTAAGTGCTGGTGATGAGGCATGGGGAGCAATCCTTTGCTAGCAGGAGGGAACAGAGATGGAGACGTTGGCAAACTTGGATTTAGTCCCGTGGCTAGGGTGAGACCACTTCCCATGGGCCCCAATACTGAAGTATTTGTCTCCATCACATTGGGTGTAGAACTAACAGAAGAGGTCAACTGGATTTTTTGGGTCACTCCATTTGGAAGAGTTTGGAGAACATAAAGTGGCTGCATGTTCTGGTTAACCACAATGAGTTTCTCAGTGGCTGGTTTCAGGTGGGGTGGAGTGGTCTGGACAGCTGCATTAGAAATCTGAGATGGGCCAGGACTCTCAGTAGAATTGGGCACATATTTCTGGTTCTGGATAGGAACAGTAGGGGAAACAGGTACCTGCAGGCCGGGGGTGCTACTGTTTCTAGTTAAATCCTGATTGTTGCCATGACCTTGCTCCACCGAACCACAAGGAGGGCTGGAGATGTGGTCTGCGTCCATGTGTCCTTGAATAAAATGATCGGGAGTCATGTGGCCTTCGGGGGTGGGATCCACTCCTGGACTCAGCAGTGCCGAGTCACCTTCAGAGGAGGCCACAGACTTCTCGGTGATGGTCACTCTCTTCTCTCCTGAGTCAGAGATTACAGCCAGTCTGCTGGCATTCTGGCTAGGGACAGTGGGACTCCGCGTGGTCAGGACAGACAGGTCGGACGGTAGCTCCAGAGGCAGCTCAAACTGCTCCTCTGCTGAGATAGAGGAGGAGACGCTACTGTCCACGGGTTCCGCCGTCGGCAACTGCTGAGAAAAGACCTCGAAGAGACCCATGTCCTTTTCCCGATTGCTGTCAAGACCCAAACCTTCACCCAGATTCAGGAGTTCCGACGAAGAGGACTCCGGGCTCTCGCCCAAAGCCTGCATGGAAGGAGTATTCTTCAGTACAAAGTCCATAATGTCCGAGGGCAGGATATTCCCACAGTCGTCACTGTTGTTGTTATCCGAGTCCGACTTGAGGAGCTCGGTATTGTAGGTGTCCAGGAGGTTCTTGTCCGACGGGGTGCTCGTGTGGACCCGGCGGCTGGATTCCAATGAGCTGAGCTGAGCCTCCAAGGAGTCCTGTCCCTGTGTTTTAACTCGGCTTACGGAGTGGCAGTTATCCATCTTTGGCTCGTTTTTGTGGCCAACGGAACTCTTAATGACATGTTCTTTCTCACCGGCATCTTCGGGTCGCTCAATCTTTAAGTTCTCCGTTCCGTTTTCCTTCCCATTTCTTTTTGGAATCTGGCTGCTTTTCCTTGTGGTGGCGGTGACGCTAGTATCGCTCTCTGTGCCATCATCGACGCCATCCAACTGTGAGATTTTGGGAAGGTCACACTGCTCCTCCTCCCGAAATAAATTATGGGATGCCAGCCGCTCGTCTCCACCTGAGGAAATCACTGTTCTGGTGAAATTATAATAGTATAGGTCATCTTCATCTGAGGTGCTCAGGTCGTCAGCCCCATCCACCTGTCCTTCGGCTGATCTCTTGCCCCGTTTCTTGCCTGTGGAGCTGCTGTAGAATGGAATGTCTTCTTCACCGTAGGATCTCACTCCATAGAGCGGGGTGAGCCCGAAGAACATGTTCGAGCGCGCCCGAGCACTGCGACGGGGATATCTCCTCTTGAAAGAGCCATCCTCCTGAGGTTTGGGACCATCTGGAAGCATCAGGTTTCTGTCCTGTACCGGAAGATTCTGATAGTTGTTACTCTGAGGATCCTGGGATGAGGTATCATTGGGGCTTGGCTGGGCCACTGGACCATCTCCTGGACTTTCGGAGGCTGCAACTGGTTCTGTGGGAGGAGATGCTGACTCTATTTGCAAAGGGGAAACGGGGCTACCTTCTTTCAGGGTATTCTTGGACTGGCCCTCACTTTCCATTTTGAGAGGTGTCAGTGTTACTTTGACCGTGCGTTTCCGGGGTGTCTGTAATTCCTTGGCAGATCCTTCTACTTGCATGGATGGAGCTTTGGGGGCTCCCGGAATAGAGAGGACTTTGTCTCCAATCTTATCAGAAGAAACATTATTACATGGTCGTTGCCCCATAAACTCAGGAGTCAAAACCTCGTCCACAAACTCCGGCTTTAGGTTTCCTTCCTCACCAGTTGACACCTGCCCAGGTTCCAAAAAAGATTTACTGGAATGTTTTTCTTTGAAAGTTTCTTTACAAGACTTTTTCCCTTTCTGTCTCCGGTCTCTGGAACTAGACCCCACGTGCTCATTGAGGATGGATGATCTGTTGCTCACTCCAGATAGCTTCAAGGTTTTGACTCCCGCGTCTTCATCGGGAGGGGGGTTTACCGATTGGTTAGAATCTGTGTGTTGGTCCCGATCATTCCTCTGCCCTCTCAGATGGAGTGGGGGGAAGGAGAGGGCCTCTTTAGAAGAAAATGGCCCTGAAGAGAGTTCAGCGAAAGTGCTGATCTTGCTAGCATTTAATTCTCCAGGTGTTGTGTTATGAACCTGTGGAGCCAGTTTGGGAATGCCAGGATAAGCCACAGTATGTGCAGACCCCTCCGAACTCTTGGAACTTGGCACTTTGGTCTTCTCTCCCTTCAAAGAGGAGCCCTTGGATGCCAAGTCTGAAGCGCTGGAATGCTTCATTTCGGAAGAGGAAGACCCATCCAAGTGGCTGGTTTTAGTGCCCATAGTAACCACTGTCCTTTGCAAATTTGAAGAGGTGGAAGTGTTTTGCCCTAAATTAGTATTTGAATTCAGTGGTCCTAAGACATGATCAACTGCTTTGGCACTTGACTCAAGGTCTGTGGCAGTCCCGATGGTAGAGACTGAGGAAACACTATTCCTGGAGTAAGTACCCCCAGTTCTCATTGGAGACATGATCCGGAGTTTAGACCGCTGGGGTGACAAGGAAGAAGTGCTGTGACGCCGGGAGCCAATGCTTCGGAGTCCAGAGGAGAGTAAAGGGTCACCCACTGTGACTATTTCATGAGTGGTTGGGGTAGGACTTCCTGAATAAGAGAGAAAAAGTAATAAAGTCTATTACAGAGAGAACGAATGTGTGGTGGCCATTGCTTTCAATGACTTGGCAATGGCTTATAACTGCAAACTGCAAATCAAGACTCAGTGAGCAAAAGCCCCTACGACAGAGTGGCCTGAAAGAATCACAAGCTCATCTCTGAGCTGACCTTTTCAGGTCAACTTAGTCAATGAGGTAGGTCCTTTACCTGCAGAAGGCAACGGCCGACAGCCAGGGGATCTCTGTGTTGGAGAATAACTAGGTGTGCGAATCCTAGGGACCTTTGAGATGACATGATAAAAACAGGAGCCGGAGGTTTGCGAATGAGGTCGGTCTGGTGAGGGAGGACTTACAATTTCAGCTGTGTTTTGACTTTCTTTAGATGCAATTTCTGTGGTAGGGAAGAAAAACTTCTACTTTTAAAAAAGGTCCAATTAAAATATCAAACGAACCAACACAAAGCAAGCTATTAGGTAAAGATCAAAATAGAAACAAATGAGACCTCCCGGAGAGACAACTTTCCCCACCTTCAATCACAGTACTCCCCCAATCTAATTCGAGTCCCACCTTGATTAAAAACTCACCTGCAAAAGATGTGGGGCTGTGAGCGATGGTCCTATTTTCATCGTGCTCGACAGTGCTGTTGATATCCGGCTCTACAACTGGAGGACGGCATTCTACGATCTTGCACGTATACACACAGCGCTTGCGAGCATCCGTGGTGCTCCAGTAAACCCTGGAACACCTGGGGACAGAGCCACACAAATCCCCATGAGTGAGAGTACAGAAGTGGAGACGGACATTTGCCAAAACGTCTTCTCATCCTAGCTTCCCTGCTCTCCTTGATTTACAGAATTTAGCTTTACTTCACGGATTCTTATTATAGAGATCCCCCTGGCTAGGGTGTTCCAGGCTCTTTGAAGTTCTTGGTTTTTCCTAGCCTCTCAGAAAATAGCATCAAATCTTTTTTTATTGTAGTGTAAGCAGGAGACAAAAATAGTAAAATATCCTAAAATGCAGAGAAAGGAAAATACTAACATCTACTACAAGAAATAGTTATTGGCCTTCAGGAAGGGACTCCTGTCCCCCACAAGGTGTACACAGTGAGGAAAGAGCAAACCTGAAGTGTCCCCTGTGGGAGAAAAGCCCCATAAGACAAGGGAAGTGTAACTGCTTCAAATTTGCTGGATGCTGATGGGGCCTGGTTTTTACAAAGAGCTGCCAGCTAAACGTACAGACTGTATTGCCAGAATTGGAATGCAGAATAAATTGGGAGTACAGACAGCACAATGAGACTCCAAAATGGGAGACCGGAAGGGAGCTTTAAATTTATACTGTCAGCATGCTAGAAGTTTAAGCCATTTGCTTCACACAGGAAAGAGTTCACTGGACAATATGATCATTATTGTGGGGGTTTATATTTTTAGATTGAGGACAGGGGCATGAGGTGTTTGATCCACTACGATAATCTGGACTTTTGAATGCAGATAGATGGAACTCAGGGGAATCTTAAGAGACTGACCTTGCGTTTTTTTGTTTGTTTTGTTTTTTTTAATTTAGGTTTTATTTGGAAATGATTCTGAAAGTATGCCAATAATATTTTCCTTCTACAACTGGATTTAGTGGACATAAAAGGATACTTTAGTCCCAATCTACAAAAAGTAGCAACAAAAGTAGTTAATTTTCGGTAGAGATTAAAAGTAGCTAACAAGGGTGCCTGGGTGGCTCAGTTGGTTGGGCGACTGCCTTCGGCTCAGGTCATGATCCTGGAGTCCCGGGATCGAGTCCCGCATCGGGCTCCCTGCTCAGCGGGGAGTCTGCTTCTTCCTCTGGCCTTCCTCCTTCTCATGCTCTCTCTCTACCATTCTCTCTCTCTCAATAAATAAATAAAAATCTTTAAAAAAAAAAGTAGCTAACAAGTATGGCTCTCCATTCAAAGACCTGCTCACTGTTCAGGGTGCCCAAGCTGTGGGGGCTGGTGTCTTGGCTCTACGGTGCTACTTACTGATATCCAATAGGAAAAAGCTTATCTTCACAGTCAGAGAGATCATTCAGAATTCCTAAGCAGTCAATTGTCATGGAGCCTGACCAAGGAAAGAAGAACTGATTAGAGAAGGTAGGGAGAAGGCTCATTTTACACCCAAAGACCAGGAAGTCCCCCAGTGATACATCGAGCCTTCCCCCACAATAGAAGCCCATCACATACCAATCATCATGTGGATATTTTCTGGTTCCAAGCCATTGAGAAACTTTCTTCTCAAGCTGATTCCTTCAAAGTCCACAAACACTCTTCTAAAAACTTCAAATCCATTCTCAGGAACCACCTGAAACGAAAACCCGGCTGTTAACAACAGGCTGTCCCTTCACACATTGTACGCATGATACTGACTCTCTCGGAGGTCAAGTACAGAGCATATCTCAGAATCACCCTGCTGTTTCACAGGAGGAACTGCTGTATTTCTAAGAAGGTGATTCTAGGAACACACAGTAGGAAGGTAAAACAAAGCTTACCATCTTGCTGTTTCAGCCTATTTTCCCTGTAGTCCTATAGAATTCGAAAAGCAACGGAAGCTCTCACCTCGCCTTTGATTAGATCCCGATGGCGCTGGCAATACACTTTCTTATCATCCAGAAAGACACAGTTCTTGGCGCGAGAACACATGAAGTGATAGTTGCTGGTGCAGGATGTAAGGCAGCAGCCCACAGTGGCTCCTGGCTTTTGGCAGAACTCACATCTCTAACCATCCAGAGAGAACAGAGGCCTAAGTCAGACTTTCAAGATGTTTTAAGCCATTTTTCTTCTCTACAGAATTACCCCATTCTGGGTTTCCTACAAGTCATTTTTTTTTTTTTTTATTGGTAATCAGCTGAGTTACAGAGAACTGATATGAACCCTAAAGCCTCCTCTATAGATCCTCTCTCTCCCACTGTCCCTGGGGCCCTGTAACTATTAAATGTAAATATTACACTTTGATTTAGAACTTAAACCAAAACACAGTTTTGTTCCTGGGATGCACGATTGATTTAGAGAAGAAAGAACTTCGAAGACTGATACTAAAAACATCATCTTACTAGAAAGCTACCATGTCCAAAAGAACTCAGTTCTAGAAAGATTATACCCATCAGAAACACAAGGGTTCTCTAGTTACTAGACTTAACAGATTAAATTTATCGCACGATTCAAAAATTTCCTTCAACTAGCCCGTATGTCACCACTTTATTCTGTCAAGGTCACAGTCTGGGCTCCTCTTTCCACAGAAGACTTCTTGTTTGTGCTCTCCACACAAATCATACGGGCTTTTTGTTTGTTTCTCTTTCTTTCTGATAATCCTTCATCTTCTCCCTTCCTTCAAAATATAGCTTTTAAAATTTTACTCCTCCTTGGCCTTTTCCGACTACTCTCAGCTTCTACTGATCATTTCCCACATCCCCTCTTCGTGTGTGTATTTATGTGGGTTTTTCCTATGGAATCATAGAGTGGTGATTCAACTGGGACCTCTGAGATCATTTTGTCTAAATCCCTTAATTAATTAACATCTTTCTTGCACATTCAAATTATCTCCCAAACGAGATAATACTTTGTCCTCTATTTCTTTTGCACCATCCCCCAGGGGTCAGAGTAGCAATCTGCCTACAGTACACACCAGTATTTGTTGCTGGCTAACCATCCTGAAGGCACTGTGAAAACCTCAATGAAGTAGCATGAAGCCACGGAGAGAACATCTGGAAACTGAGGGGAAATCTTTTCCGTAACATTTACACAGGGTCTTACCAGCTGCTTGCCCCTGATCACAGCCATGTGCACATTCTTTAGTGATCCATCATCGTCTTCAAACACTTCTGCTGACCACAAAGCGCAATTTACATGTGTCCACTCATTTTGGCCAATGTAAAGCAAACGGCCAGCATCCTAAGAAATCAAGAGATTTCTTTTTTCTTTAAAGAATATAATGTCAAAGAAGGTTTTCCTTGCTATTAGCTTTACCTCAGTCAAGATAACATCAATAATAATTCTTTAACTTGGGGATGCACACAAAAATCAAAACTCATTTCTCAATGTTGCTGTTTCCCCTTCTCACCTTTCTCAAATCCATAGATGGGAAATATTTTATAAACACAGGGAATCAAAACATAAGCAGTATGTGTGTGGTAAGTTTATAAAAGTGTGCACGGACTTCTTTACAACCATATTTCAAAGCCAGTTCTCTCAGCTTGCATTACAAAACCTTTTTTATTGTAAGCTTACTTTGTGCCCAGCACTAAATAAAGCTTTATAAACATTATTTCCTTTAATCCTCATAAACGTTCCTGAAGTTAAGTATTATTATTATCCTCATTTTAAAGATGAAACTTAGAGAGGTTAAGCTCCTCGCCAAGGTCAATAAGTAGGCAGTAGGGCACAGAGATGAATCCAGGCAGCCTGCCAGAACTGGGGGTCTTAACCATTCTGCCCTCCTCCATTACACACAAGCTTTTAATATGCAACTTGTTTTATTGACTTTCATAAAATCTTACTGAGAAATCTCCTGTAGAAACTATTAGACGTCAACAGGTAATCATTTTTTTTTTTTTTTGTAAATTTTAAGTGGGCTCCACGCACAATGTGGAGCCCAGTGCGGGGCTTGAACTCACCACCCAGAGATCAAGACCTGAGCTGAGATCAAGAGTCAGATGCTTAACCGACTGAGCCACCCAGGTGCCCCAAGGCAAATCATCTTTTAAATCAATTAAATATAGGAAAAAAACCCCAAGTGACATAAGCTAGGTGACAAAACATTCATTAAATAAATGGCACTCAGTCATCGAATTTAGACACCAAGGACCAACAGTTCACATGAGCATCTGCTAAGTAGGACCCGTTCGCCAAGGTACTTACATTAGCACTGTCATCACCATAGGTCAAACACAATGCACATTGTCTATTATCTTCTATGCCTGGGGGTGGGTTCAGTTCTGGACTATCTTCTCGACTCCTATCAGTACCTTGGAACCCAAAAGATATTGTTAAAAGTGGCAATACTAGGTCTGACTTCCAGAAAGAAAAAAACCAATTCGGTTTAAATAGCCTGTGGCTTATAAAATAAACACTTTCAAAAAGTGTTCAGAGTTATGCTATCTCACCATCTGTTAGAGTATTTATATCGATTTCTTGCTACCAGGCCAAGCTAAGCAAAAATTAGGATGACCTGAGAATTTCTTTCCAATATGCAAGTATATTAAATTTAGGTTCACAAAGTTAATCATTTGCATCTAGAGAGAAATGGATAATGACTCATTTGGTGCCTTACTCAAAATTGGTGGTGTGGGAGGATGGAGAGGAGTTGGAGAGTCTGGTTCTCCAGGCCCTTTAGGTTTGGGAGCTGGAATGATTTTCTTCATTAGAGGAGGCTGCTCAGTGTGGCTGTTTTCCTCTCGCTCCTGCCACTGAGCATAATTATGGTCAAGTGAAGGTGGAAGCACTGCGTTTGGTAACATCCCACTGCTGAAAATAATTGATTCAACAAGCATTTATTGAACTCCTACGATATACCTGGAACTATACAAAATAATCAAATTCTTGATATCATAAGGTCACAGCCCCATGCATGAGCCATTCACAGAATATAAGGACAAGCCACAGAATTTGAAAACTGTCTAAATACACAGGACTTTATTATTTAAAAATATATATGTTCTCGATATATGACTCTTGGTTAAACTTCTGGAAGCAAGTGATAACTTTCCCAAAGAATCAGAAGGATTTACTGCAATAAAAATTTAAGGTTAAATATGGAGAGTAGTCAAGAGCAATAGCACAATTTGAACCAAATAACACAGAACCCAATTTTTGCAAGTCCAAATACTGAGCTACATATACAAGCACATGTACTGTACATATGCCACAAGTTAAGCCAAGTTGCAGAAAACATATAAAGAAAAAAAGGGGGGCAATAGGCTATAATAAACATTAAGTATTATCTCTAAATCAGCACTGAAAAGGCATTTCAAGTGATTAATTTTTAATCTTAAAACCTGGTCTAAAGAACCCTTAATCTAGAAATATAAGAACTCTCAGATTTCTAGCTGATGGGGTGGAAAAAAAAAGTAATACTGAATTTACTTACTTGCTCGATACTTTATTTGGCTCCCAAAACCTAGACTTTTTGACACTGAACCATGGAAAAACACGTTCCATTTGCTAACAGAAAAACAAACAAACAAACAAAATGTAAGCATGTGAACATTCATTTGGAAACCACATAAAAACCAACAACTTCACACTAGTTTCTCTGTCGATATGAGGATGATTTCAGGCCACCAAGAGAAAGTGGATGCACTTTGGTGACCCCACCAACTTCCTCCCAAAGAATCAGAGGAATGAGTTAAACCAAAAGATGTTTTATACATAGCAAAACAAAATGGAGAACAAATCCGTTCTGTTCATGGAGTCATTACCCATAGATAAGCATTAAAAACATCAACTATTAATATCATTCACCCGAATAAAGAAGGACTTGACCATGCTGTTGGCTTTTTTAATCTCCGGCTGCCCTCCATCTGAATTAATGGCTGCTTGAATGATCTTCACGATATCATCACTGAACTCCAACTGTATACAAAAACAAAGTATTAATTATTCATAAAACAGTGTGCTCTCAAAACCACTTCCTCTTTCCTCCTAAATCACCCAGCCCAGAGATCCAACAGAAAATGGACACCCTATTTTAATGCAGTGTAATTTCTCTTTAGTGGAGGCCTCTGGAATTCAGTTCACAATTAACTTGTGGCAGTCAAGAGAAGCCAGGCTAATAAGGCAAGAATGCAAATAAATTGGCTGTATCACGGTAAGTTACCCAAATAGGGCCACAGTTTTTTATTTAGGTTAAAATAAACAACTGAATAGCAAATATGGACCATAACAAATGATCATTCCCATACATTCTTAAAACCATAACTTTAAAAGACATCTATCTATAAATGAGTATCCTATATAGGAAGACACATTATTTAGACGTGATTTCAACAGGGGCAAACCAAGGAACTTCACATTAGCATTTTTCCATAAACTATTTTTTTTTAAGAGTTTTATTTATTTATTTGAGATAGAGGAGCAGGGGAGCAGAGGGAGAGGGAGAAGCAGGCTCCCACGTGGGGCTCAATCCCAGGACCCTGCCACCATGACCTGAGCTGAAGGCAGACGCTTAATTGACTTGAGCCACCCAGGCACCCCTCCATAAACTGTTTGTTTTTTTTTAAAGGGGGAAATGTACAACTGCGAAGCTTTTTATTTCTTTCTTTCTTTTTTTTTTTTTAGGATTTTATTTATTTATTTGACAGAGAGAGACAGAGTGAGAGAGGGAACACAAGCAGGGGGGCATGAGAGAGGGAGAAGCAGGCCCCCCGCCAGGCAGGGAGCCCGATGCAGGGCTCAATCCCAGGCCCCTGGGATCATGACCTGAGCTGAAGGCAGATGCTTAACGACTGAACCACCCAGGCGCCCCATAAGCAGTTTTAATAAAAAATAATTTTCAGAGAACTCAGATGACAGCCAAATAAAAAAATCATTTTGAGACACTACCGTCCCATCTTCTGAAACACAGAGCTAAAAGAACTCATATATTCTTAGGTATTTAAATCCACAAGACATTTCTAAATATAACACAAGCCATCTCTTGGTGCTTACTCCCAGCCTTGTCTCTTACAGACCCAGAGGCGCTAAACTGGCGTTTGGGCTAGAGACATACCACAGATGTATAGTTCCCTTGGTCCATTTTCCTCTTGACTCCTTCCAGATCTAAGGGCTGTTGATCTTCCTGTTTGCTGACCTCAGTAAGCACAGGTGGATCAGGTCCTTCTGGAGAGCTGCGGGAAGGTATACTCTCCTCTGTCTCAGGATTTAAGTCTGGAGGTTTGGCAGCCTGTTTCCAGGAAAGATAGGTTTCTTTTATCTAACACTGAAAATGAGGCATCTGTGCAAATTCTATTAAAATTAATAAAGATGGTACTGAATGATTCATATTATAAAACCTAAAGAACATGAAAATAATCAGAGATCTCTTAAATAATAGAAAAAAAGTTAGAATGAGCCGGTTCTCTAATAGTTTGACCAGGTGAACTTAAGAGCTTTGCCTGATAACTTCCAAATGGAGTATGAAGACATAGACACTGGCCAGTTCCTTTGAGGGAGACAGAGATAGCAAATCTTCCTATTAAAAAAAATGGAGCTCTATGAGGAGAAAAAGCAGCAGCCTAGCTCTGAGTTCGAGTTATCTGTGCGATTCTTCCAACATTTTACATTGTGTTTCCAATGACCACTCCTTAGATGTACAGTTCACAACTTCAATGGACAAAAAGTAGTGGTTTACAAATTGTGCCCTGAGGAGCCCTAGGGATTTCCCAGAGTGACAGCCATATGACTGTCAGATTAGGCCACCACTCTCCCTCTCACCCAGATTACTCCAACTGCCTCCTGACCACCATTCCTGCCTCTAGCCTCAGTCCTCTCCAATCCTCCCTCCCCCTTTTAGTCAGAATCTTTTTTTTTTTCCCTTAAAAAGCAACTCTGATTGGGTCACTCTTGGGTAAAGCCTTTCACCGCCGCCCCCCAGAGCCCTCAGAGTATAAAGTCCAAATTTCTTATTATAACAGCAAAGAAAGCCCCCAAAGAAGGTCCTACACTTGGTCCTAAAGATTTCCTTAATGGCTGAAAGCCAAAGCAAATAACTCTACAAAACTAAATGAAGAATGGAGCAAACGAACGTTCCCTTGCTGGGTAAAACCCGCCTAAAACAAACTCTCAGGGCCCACCTGTCGGTAGCGAAGCAAGTGGCTGGTGGTCCGAGAGTTGAGCAAAGCTGTCAGAACTTGCTTCAGAGAGATCTGTAGCTCTTTTTCCAGGGCCAGTCGCCACTCTGCAGGATGCCGCTCAGTGCAGTTCACACAGGTGTAGGCCACGCTTTCTGGCAAGTTAGACAGAATCTCATACATCTCGTCTAGAAAAACAAAAACCCACAATGCTGAGGTGCTCTGAAGAGTGGCAGAGAGGGAGGACACTACTGCCCTGAACTTAATACAAAGCTAGACCCTGGGGACAGGGGCAGGACTCTAATGTCCCCCAGGAACCCAGGACGTATTGATCTCTGAAGGGACACTATTAACGCTAGCTACCCAGGATTTAGTTACTGGAGAGAGAATCAAGAGGTTAAGGTACCCACAGAAAACAGCAAATAAATATTTCAAAGGGATATGTTCACGATAAATGAGCACAACTTGACACGAAGCTTATTCTACAGACCAGAAATGAAAATTCCAGAGGACTTCAAGCAACAACAGGGCCATAATTTTACGCTTACAGATTACTTTGGGGGCTCTAACTGTATCAAGCAAGAAGGAAACTGTAATAAAAAGACTCCAACCTTCTGTACCTGAAAGATTCTCACATTTGGAATGGACCCAGCGATCACACTTCCCACACTGCATCATCTTACTCTCGTAGTCATCGTCATCATAACACTTATCACAGAGAGGACAGAAGTTCCCTGAAAGCAAAGCACACTTTTCAGCAGTGCTCTGGCTCACACACCAGTGCCTCTCAGGCCCTGACTTCCACGTGCCAACTCTCTTCTGGAACTGCTCACGGATGCCAGCAGGGACCTACTATGCAATGCTCACGCATCTGTAAAGTGTCCAGATTTTTCTGAGCTCTTAGAACATGCCACTGATTTTATTTAGACTCATTTTTTTATCTTTTTTTTTTAAAGATCTTATTTATTTATTCATGAAAGACAGAGAGAGAGAGAGAGGGAGAGGGAGAAACAGGCTCCCAAGGAGCAGGGAGCCCAACGCGGGACTCAATCCCAGGACCCTGGGATCATGACCTGAGCCCAAGGCAGACGCTTAACCATCTGAGCCACCCAGGCGCCCTAGACTCATTTTTAAAGGTCATAAGGTAGAGTTTTAAAAGAACACAGTAGAAAAGAAGGAGAGAACGTTCTCTTACACGTTCCAAAGAAAGAGCAGTTAATTTACACTTTCTCCTTATTCTTAGTGCTTTAAGTTAGAGCTCAAAGCAGCACTTCCTAAAATTCAACACAAAGGACAGCCTTCATCAATTTGCTTTATCCATGCACCCCCTCTATTCTTTTTTTTTTTTTAAGATTTTATTTATTTATTTGACAGAATGAGAGAGCAAAAGCAGGGGGAGCAGCAGAGGGAGGGAGAAGCAGGCTCTCCGCTGAGCGAGGAGCCCAACGCGGGGCTCAATCCCAGGACCCTGAGATCATGACCTCAGCCTAAGGCAGACGCTTACCCAACCGACTGAGTCACCCAAGCGCTCCCCCTCTATTCTTCCTTACTTAATAGATTTAACATTGATTTGATTAAATAACTTCAATAGTAAACTTTGTATCATTATTATCCTAAGTCAGTAAAATGAGTTAAATGTATTAGGTATAATTTTTTCTATTTTAACTATTAAAATGTTTGACTCAGTACCACCTAAAATCATTTCTGAAACAATCAAACATCTATGTACCTCACTTTGGGAAATACTGGCTTAGAGCATTTCTTTGTGGTTAGTTATTACAAAAATCCCCTTAATTCTTCCCATATAAGCGAACAAAACATTTCTAGTTGCTGTAACACTCTGTGTAAAGGAAAGGGTAAGACGAGGAACTTAGTAAATCCTTGACAAGATGTATAAAACGTTTTACTTCATTCCATTGGAGTGTCCAGTTCACCCTGTATAAACACCAAATATAATTTCTAGAAGTTGACAAAACTGGCTTTTCTGAACTACCTTTAGCAAAGAGTTTGGCACAGTCGTGGCACAGTGAAAAATCGTGAGACCACTGTGCGTCCCACCCTTTGCCTGGAGTTGTGGATCCACAGCTCTTGCAGCGAACACACTTGGTGCAGATCTGGAAGAGAAAAGAAATTCAACAGGAATTTCGTATTTCTAATATCTCGTCTCATTTAAAGAGAGCTCAGATGCAATCCGTTTCTCAAGTTGACCTCTTTCCTGGGATGGCTCTTCCTAATAATGAGACCAAGGGGTTCCCTGTTACAGGGTGGGCAAGCCCAAGAGCTCCATGACAGTTCTCTCTGCAACCGTGTCATATGGGTACTCACCCAAACTTTCTTTTTCTTGGTGGGCTTGGTGGGGTAGTTTGGTCCCAGGCACTCGGGGTGATAGCTGTTTCGGCACTTATTACACTCCAGCAGCTGCTGTAGGGAACACAAAGGCAGGGGATGAAGAGGTACACGCTTCCAGTTATGAAATAACTAAGTCATGGAGATGAAAAGTACAGCCGAGGGAATACAGTCCGTGAGATGGTGGATGGGGACTGTGCTTCTCATGCTGAGCACTGAGTCATGTGCAGAAGTGCTGAGTCACTAAGTCATACACCTGAAACTCACATCATATTGTATGTCAGCGATACACTAATTAAAAAAAAAAAGAAAATATAAAGGCAAGAAGTGGGTATCACATCAAAAAAAAAAAAAGATGGGCATCACATCGACTCACTTGAAGCACCCATTTCATATTTACCTTCAAGTAAGTATAGCACATCATTAGAACAGTTTAAATTGTTTCATAAATTATTTTACTCTCAAAGAAAGCACTGGGGTTTATGTCCTGCCAAAGGCACTCAGTGATGAGTATTCTTATCAGGTAGACTGGAGTTACTGGGGGGATTTTATCTAATGCCATGTTTTCTCCTATATTCCCCAAATTAAAACACAAAAATAGGCAATGAATCATACCAAATTAAATAGTCGCGATAGACTAAGTCAGCAGAGGAAAAATACAGGTACAAAACCCTAAACCAAAAGGCAGAAATGGAAATAGAGTTCTGTTACTTAGTTCTATACCTTGGTGGCCTGATGCTGCCTTCCACAAACATGACAGAACTTGCAGCGGCGACAACACCAGTTCTCCAGCTGGTCCTCCAGGGGGCGCTCGTTCTCCTCTAAACAAAACTTGTGGAAGGGCTCACAACAGACTTGGCAATACACAAACTAGGGTAAGAGGGGAACACAGAAGTTGTCAAACAACATGTAGAGATCAACCAAATGCTATTTACAGACCTCAGGCTTTAGGAGTCCAATGGTGTGTGCATATATATACATATATATTTTTTAAGTTAATACATAATCGTTTACAATGACTATGTAAAAAAAAAAAAAAGCACAAGATTAGGCACTGAGGGGATGCAGGGGCCTAAAGTAATAATGGTAGAATTTAAAAAGTAACAAGATAAATATAATCCCAGATTTACCAGAATGCATTAAGTGCCTAAGGCGAGGTACAAGCAAGAGCTATGGGAAGGGGGAAAGAGGGACGATTTTAAAGGCTTCCTACAAAATACTAAAGACAGTTGTAAGCTCTGGTTTGTCCTTTCCATCTCTAGTTGTAGAAATGTTATTTTCATGCAAGCAGTTTTTAAAAATTTGAATAAGGATGACCCAGGCTTTTCTTTTGCCATAGCAGAATTATTGGGACAACTGATCAAACCTAAATAAGGTTTACAGATTAGATAACAATAATATGCCACCGTTAATTTCCAGACTTTGACAACTATACCGTGATTGTATGAGAATGTCCTTCGTTTTAGGAAATACACACTAAAATATTTAGACATAAAAGGACAAGTCTGCAACTTCCAAATTTTTAGGAAAAAAATGTGTTATATATAAAATCTATGTACATATTTTCTCACTTTGTAAAATACAGACACACAAAAAGAAAAGGATAAAGCAAAAATATGAACATTTGAGAAATCTGGGTGAAGGGTACATGGGAATTCTTTGTACTACTCTCATAACTTTTCTGCAAATCTGAAATAATGTCAACATAAAAGGTTTTTAAAAATTCGAGGGGCGCCTGGGTGGCTCAGTCGGTTAAGCATCTGCCTTCGGCTCAGGTCATGATCTCAGGGTCCTGGGATCGAGCCCCGCCTCTCGCGCTCCCTGCTCGGTGGGAGGCCTGCTTCTCCCTCTGCCTGCCGCTCCCCCTGCTTGTGCTCTCTCTGTCAAATAAATAAATAAAATCTTAAAAAAAAAAAACAAAAACCCTCTAATGTCTGGGAGTCCATAGGTGGCGCAGTTGGTTAAGCATCTGACTCTTGGTTTTGGCTCAGGTTGTGATCTCACAACCGCACATCAGGCTCTGCATTCCATGTGGAGTCTGCTTGAGATTCTCTCTCTTCCTCTCCCTCTGCCCCTCCCCACAGGGTGCTCTCTGTCTCTAAAATAAATAAATAAATCTTAAAAAAAAAAAACACCTCGAATGTCAGAATTCATCAAACACTAGTTATGCTTTAGTAGGAGCATAATGCAAGCAGTGAGCTCTTCATTCTCTAGTTCAGTTTTTAGGAATCCTGTGGGATTGCTGTGCACAACTACACAATTTAAATTAAAGCAATTATACTCTGAAAAAAACCCCATTTTATCACAGAAGTTGAAGGACTGGTGCTACAAGTTATTCCTGTGAGCAGCATATGTGTGGATGTAAAACATTAAGATTATGTGCAAAAGAGATATAGTAGACCCCTGACACTTAAAAACTGAATATTCTTAGTCTCAGTAGTATCTAAAGCAGCCCCACCACTTAGAACAATATTGTTGTTCATAATAGGCACTAAAATATTTGCTTAATGAATGAATACTAGACAATAATTTGTAATTTTGCTACTGTATAATTTAACATAGCAAGTGGGCAGGACTGAATCTCTTAGCTAGTGAGTGAGTATCCCTGATTGCTCAATATGTACATTATAATCTGGCCTTGGAATTTCTTTATGACCTTAAAATACATGTGATAAAATAATAAGCTAAGGAGGTATTCTGGAACTGAGAATTGTATGAATGACAAACTACTGCTTCCTATAAAATTGTGCTTTGCATTGTAAAGGTGGCAAATACTCACTGCCAAAGACTCAAAAGGAAAAAGAAAAATAAAATAAAGAGAAAAGAAGGCACCCATAATCCAATCACATTTTTAAGATTTTGGTGTAAATCCTTCCACAATTCTTTCTGCATATATATATATATATATATATTTGAAAATTATTTATTTATTTATTTGACAGAGAGAGAGACACAGCCAGAGAGGGAACACAAGCAGGGGGAGTGGGAGAGGGGGAAGCAGGCTTCCCGCGGAGCAGGGAGCCCGATGCGGGGCTCGATCCCAGGACCCTGGGACCATGACCTGAGCTGAAGGCAGACGCTTAACGACTGAGCCACCCAGGCGCCCCTGCATATATGTTTTTAAAACAATGTCCAAACCAAAATGGGATCATGCTTTACATACTACTTTGTAACCTGCTCTTTTATTAACTCAGCGACGTGTCATGGACACCTTCCCATGTCAATATCAATCTATATTACTATCTAGGACTTCCTATTTGCCCTTATATGCACGTCCTATGATTAAAGACTCCCGCCCCTTATTGACAAACTTTCGGTTCTTTCCTATTATTTGTTATCATAAGCAGCACTGAAATAAAGCCTTCTGTTTATCACAGAGAGAGAGGGTTTATTACATACATCCGTATTGCACACACACATATATACACACATACCTATGCATATGGCTATTGCTGTTTCTCTAATTATACCCTTAGGATAAATACCTGGAGTGCCACTGCTGGGTTAGACGTATGTTCATTTTAAAGATAAATACATATATCTGAACAATCTCTTCAGAAAGATCGCAACTAAGTTAGATTCCAACAGGAAGTCCCTATTTCCACATGCTCTTTTTTCCCCAAAATTTTTTTACAAAGATTTTTTTAAAAAAGATTTTATTTATTTTTAAGATTTTATTAATTTATTTATTGAGAAGGGGGGGCAGGAGAGGGAGAGAGAGAGAATCTCCAGCAGACTCAGAGCTGATGGGAGCTCGATCTCACAACCCTGAGATCGTGACCTGGAGCCAAAATCAAGAGTCAGACGCTTAACCGACTGAGCCACCCCGGTGCCTCTAAAGATTTTATTTTTTTAAGTAATCTCCATAGCCAACGTGGGGCTCGAACTCACAACCCCCGAAATCAAGAGTCGTGCACTCCACCGACTTAGCCAGCCAGGCTCCCCTTCCCACGTGATTTTTTTTTTTTTTTAAAGATTTTATTTATTTATTTGACAGAGAGAGACAGCGAGAGAGGGAACACAAGCAGGGGGAGTGGGAGAGGAAGAAGCAGGCTTCCCGCTGAGCAGAGAGCCCGACGTGGGGCTCGATCCCAGGACCCTGGGATCATGACCTGAGCCGAAGGCAGACACTTAAAGACTGAGCCACCCAGGCACCCCCCACATGATCTTTTTAATCATGCTTTAACGTCCAATTTTTGGTCATGAGAAGGCTTTGCCCCTGCCCACCATGTTTTTATTTCTCATTTTGTGAATTACATATTCCTGTCCATAGCATATTTTTTTTACTGGGTGTTGTTCCTTTTTCTTATTAATTGCTAAGAGCTCTTTGTAGACAAGGGGATTTTGATAATCAATATAAGAGAGCCATCTCTTTTTCCAGAAGTGCGCTATATCATTTTTGCCATGTTTGGACATTTAGCAGAACTATCAGAACTCTAATAAAAAGAGTGAATTTAAGAGATGAGACCATTAATCCTTTCACACTCAATAATTTTGCTCCTCTACTAAGAAGCAGATTCCTTCATGAAATCTCTAAAAAACTTGTAAAGCATTTCATTAGCTGGACAGTAGGGGTGCCCCGCTGGCTCAGTCTGCGGAGATTGCGACTCTTGCTGTCTGGGTTGTGAGTTCGAGCCCCACGTTGGGCGTAAATATTTCTTTAAAAAAATAAATCAAAAACAAAGAGGGGACAGTACCTGCTACATACCAACAAGACAGAAGAAATGATTTCTTTCATCACAGCAAAATCATCTACCATTCAACTGTCTGGGGGTACCAAGAAGCAGCTTCTCTTACCTCCACGTGCCCACTGCTGGCACAGAGAAAGCAAACCACTCTGGGTGTTATAGGAACAGAGGTCAAGATTCCTAAGCCTCCCATCTCCCACACATTTTCTGCTTCACAATCCTCCTGTAGAGAGAGAGACGGATCGTTTGTGAAAGTGTTCCAGTGACACACAGCTTTGGATTAATAAGAGCAAGGCCAGCAAGCATAAAATCAGAGCGACACCAGAGTGGCAAGAAGACTTCATTTCAGTGGGTTCAAGAACAACCTGCTACTTTAAAAAATTTTCATCTCAGACACAAACTGTTAAAAGGCTCACCTACTGGTTTAATTCATGTTAACGAGAACGCAAAGATATCCCGGGAGTGACTTTTCTCCTTAGAGTTTTGCTGATTCAAGCAATCATCATGGTTGGAGAATTCCCACGTGAAAGAATTATTTCCTCCGACGCTGTTCCCATCCGAATGCGCCTTCTTGCTCAGGCCGATGCCTGCGATTGTTCGTCAGCTCGTAAATGGTGACCTCACGACACCGACCAGAGCTCTCTCACACCTGAACCCCCCTGCCCATGGTAGTTCTTATTCCCTGACTGGGTGCTGAATGCCCCCTCTTTCAGCAACACCTTGGACAACATCATTTTTCTGATCTGAAGTCCGTGACGCTCGACAGACTACACGGTCACAAAACGCTTTTACCTTAAAGTCCACTCTGATCCTGTGGACTCCATCTGCTGGGATTTTTTGCTTCGAAGTATTGCCATTGGAGAGAGTGCTGAGGATGTTCAAAGTGCCTGTGTTCTCCTGCTTACTGACTGGAGGTGGCTTTTCCTACAGAGACAGAAGATGGATAAAGAACAAAACCACATCCCACTTGCCTTCACTTTTGCAACAGGTAACGATGCAAACAAAAAATCTTATTAATAGTTCTGGAGAACATGTTTCCAACACAAGTACTCCACAGACACAGAGAGTTAATCTTCAGATTCTTTTTTCCATGGGGGCATTTTATGTGTGTATCACAGCTGTAGGAGAATCCCAGGAGAGTCGCAGGACTCTCCCTCCTGTGGGTTTTTGTCTTGCTTCTTCGTGGTCCATGATGTCAGCTGAGGTTGTTGGCACAATGAAACCAAAGTGACAGCATGGGAGCAGGTTATTATGCCATTTTTCTAGATCTTTAAGTTGCACATCCAATCTGGGGCTGATCATTTTACTCTTGTTTAACTGGTCTAGGATGGTCACAACAGTATTCGCAGCTCTGGGACCATTAATGATTTCAACTCGCCAGTGTAACCATGCTTTATCACCACAGTCAGAAGCCAGACAATGACCTTGGAGCAAGGCTTAATAAGACCCTGGCATCTGCCTCTCTTTGGCATTGTTGATGCATCAGCCAGGACGCTCATGCACCACCATTATGGTGGCACAGAGAGATGGCAGAAAGCGCCAGAAGATTCTTTAACAATTTACTTATTTGAGAGAGAGAGAGAGAGCACGCGAGTGCAACACGCATGTGCAGGGAGAGGGGCAGAGGGAGACGTAGAGGGAGACTCTGTGCTGCCCAATGTGGGGCTTGATCCCACGACCCTGAGATCACGACCGGAGCAGGAATCAAGAGTCAGATGCTCAACCAACTGAGACACCCAGGCGCCCCAGCCAGAAGATTCTTAAAGACCTCTCTCTCTCCACGTAAAAACACAGTGGACACGGGGAACGGTGATGGCTATAGACAAATATCGCTAAAGGACATCGAGGGCAAAAACAATCACAGTAAGCGGCCTGCGGCATCAGCCTAAGCACGGAAGGCCACAAAGAAGGGGAAAGACAAAAAACAAAACGAGCTAAAGCCTAAACCTGGTTTGTTCATTTTAAGGAAGTCCACCGCCATCTACAGAGAAGCAGATACGCAGTTTCCTTCACTCAATCACGTAAATGTCAAGGATAAGACTATGTCTTATGAATGCAACACATCCCTGAGCAATGGCAGAGAAACAAATCTCTCCTCACCTTTTCTTTTGGTTTTTGTTTTACAGGAATACTTGGGCGAGGAGCCACTTTTTTCTGCTTGCTTTGCTCTGGACCTAAAGAATTCAAAATAAATTGCAGTCAGACACTGCTAAACTCAGAGTTCGTGCTAAGCAGCAAGGACCACCTGAGGACTTACTGGCCTGTGAAGAAAGGGGCATCAGAAAACACAAAAACCAACTTAAACTCTAGGCTTTACATAGGAAATTAAGACAATACCTCCAACTTAACTTTTTTTGCTTCTATTTCTTTATTATTATATAAATAGCTTAAAAGAGAGCTAATTTTCCTTAACTAAAGGCTTAAAAATATACATTTCGGGTTTCCCAATGCTGTTTAAGGCATCAGTGTTCTTTGCTGGTACTTCTGGTTCCACAACTCCTTCTTGCCTTCCTCGCTCACCTGATTCTGGTGGTGCAGGCTGTTTTTTCTTGGGCTCACTAGGAGTGGTCTTGGGAACTTCCTTTCTTGGTGGTGCTGTGCTCGGTGGCTGTGCAGGGGTGACTGGCACTGGCTGGGAGGCCTGCTTGCCGGACTTCCTGGAAGCTGGAGTGGTAACTTGTTTGGATTCAGAAACTGGGGCAGAGGTGTTCCCTTCTTCGCTCTTTTCCTCAATGGGCTTTCGAGGCGGAGGTTCACTATTGCTTTTCTTGGGGGCAGGGTCCTCTCTTGCTGACGGGGCAGGTTTCTGACCAGAGTCCACCACGCTCTTCCCAACACTGCTCTCCTTGCTCTCTTTCTTTTCGCTGGTTTTAGACTTTTTCTCTTTCTTTTTCACAGCTAGGGGGAGAAAAGACCAAGATGATTTATCTGCAAGTGAGAAAAACTTTCTTTAAGACAGAAGCAGAGGAATGTAACACTATCTTATTCACAGTGCCCTGCGCTGAAGTCGACACTGGAAAGAGCAAGCTGGTCAGGTGAGGCAGGTATACTTGTCTTGCTCTCGGAAACAGAATGGACTGGAATTGTCACAGGAATTTAAAAATTTTTTTGATTATGGAAAATTTCAAAGTAGGGGGAATAGTAAAATGAACCTTCATATAACTACCACCCAGCTTCAACAACCACCAACTCGCTGGGAAAAGCAGTTAAACAAACAAATGAACAACTAGCGTTCTATGTACACTAGATGTACATGACTACGTGGTATTACAGCAGGAAACATTTGGGAAAAATCTTTTTACAACGCTACCTTTTGCTTGCTTCTGAAGGTAGGCTTTGGAAGGCATCCATTGTAGATTCTGACATTTTCTCATCCTAGGATAACAAGGGATACCATAAAGTAAACTACATTTAGAAGAAAAGCCATTGAAACAAGTGTTAATTTGTCTGCAAGAATCAGTGAACCTTTACTAGGGTTCATTCTGAGAGCTGAAAAAAGTACTCAGATTCAATCTGAGCCTCTGAATGCTTCGATCAGCAATTTTACCTACCTTTAGGGTCTAAAAGGAATAAATATCAAATTATTTTTGAAATGGGACTCAAATTTTCTTATAACCCAGTACTAACTAGCACCACACACAAAATGATCAGCTGGTGTTTTATAGTCAAATCGGTTCTGCTCCCTTATGAGATTAACATTCATATAGTAATCTGAATAAAAAATGGACTAAAATTAACCAACAAGTCCTTTGTCTGACACTACAATGCTATAGGTCTATCTCAGGGCTTTGATACGTAGTTCACCCCTCAATTTAATGAAACTAAAACTTACTTTGAAGTCTAAAACTGAGCTAAATACATTTCAACCCCTAAATTATAGTGCAGGTTTATCTTGCAATCATGTACCTTTCTGCTGATCAGTGATTTGTCTCACTTCTTTCCACTAATGGGACTGAGACAAGATTCTTGCTTAAGGCCAGACTAAACGAAAGCACAGAACTACTTACTGTCTCCTAGAAACTATCTCCCCTGAACTAATTTCTCCCAACCACATTTTCTATAAATCACTTTCATGTTACCATTCGTTCAGCAAATACCTATTGCTAATATCTACTCCTTGTGCCAGGCACTTTATGAGATGCTCAGTCACTAAAATTTGTTTGTGCAACTTTCTTGATCCATTTAAAACAAATTATGCCAAAGAGCAGAAAGTGAATCCACAAACTAACTTAAAAAAGGGAGAAAAGATCAAGTAATCAAAACTTTCAGATCAAAAACTCCACATGCATGAAAATATTCTGGAGTTAGAAAGCCAAGGGTCTCAGACTAAGATATCACCACTTTTTCCTCAATGCCATAAAGGTAATTTCAGTTGACCTGAAAAATTATAATAAAATAGATATTATAATATATAGTTAAATTAAATATAAATTATACCTCAATTATATGTGAATATTACATATACATGTGACTTATATATATAACTTATATAATATATAAAATATGAATATATAAATTTGTCAGGTTTTACATGGAAGCCCTCCTTAGCTACACTGATATGGTAGCCACTAGGCACATGTGGCCATTTAAATTTAATTAACTGAAATGCAATGCAATTAAATATGTAGTTCCTCGGTCACACTAACCACACTTCCAGTGTTCTACAGCCACGTTCGGCTAGTGGCTACCACACAAACTGAGCAGACAGAGAATCTTTCCACCGCTGCAGGACTTTCTACTACACAGCACTGCCCTGAGTATTTCTTATTTAAGGACAGCCCAATCCTGGCCACATCACAAAATCCAACTCTGCAAAACTAACCTTGCACCTCAAGGAGACTCAACACAACCACATTCAGTTTTCTGATGCATCCCTGCAACAGACCAGGCATAAACACACAACCTCTACGGCTGAGAGGTCAACACCTCAGAGTAAGACACCCACTCACTTGCAGCACTGCTTCTTTATATTTCGGCCACCAAACTTGGGTTTGTCTAAGCAATTAGTACAAACACCACAGTCCTCAGGCACCTGGCAGCCGGGACACTGCCCACACCGCCTGGATCGTCGCCCTTTCTTTACTGGAGGTTCCTGAGGCGCCTTGTTTCTGGTAACGGGTTTAATTGGTTTGATGGGTGGAGCAAGAGGTTCAGCATCTTCTGAGCCAGCAATTGATGACTTGTCTGTTAAAGAAACGTGTCGTTAGTTCTGAGGGAGTATCTAATTCCTTCTTGGGAGCAGAGGCGGAATTCCTCAAAATCCGTTTATATCATTATATACATTCAAGCCTCATTTTAATTGGGACTCCAAAAATGAAATACGTCATAATAAAAATATTCATATGCAGAAGTCAGAGCCTGTTTTAAATAATTCTTTAAATGTTTTAAAACGCCTATAACTTGCAGCTTGATGAAAGCAGAAATCCGAACACTGAGAACAAAACACAGTCTAACCTAAAACCAGGAATGCGAATTGAATCCTTCTTAAGATTCTCTAAACCTCTACATTTTATATAAGCAGTCACCTAGCATTTAAGTCACCCAGCATCTAAAAGCAACCATGAGAATGTGCCCCACAGACGTCCAACAACAGGGAACGAAGCTAACTGACCAACGGCCCCAACTGCTGTGCTCTGAAATCCAGTGGTACACCAAGCCCACACTTACCATGGGGGTTGCTCCTAGGTAGTGACTGAGCATGGCAGGGATACTAAGGCGGGCCTGTTCCTGGGAGACACAAAACTCCCCTGACCGTCAGCTTTTGCTCAAGGACTCCCCCACAGCCTTGCCAAACTCTCTGGGAAGATTCTGCCCAACCCTCCCTCCCTCTCTCTTTCCTTGGGGTCAGACTTACAGAGCAGCCTGACCATTGTCCCAGCCTTCCCCAGCTCCCCCCGATTTTCTCTCTCGGGCATTTCCTCTAGGGTAAACCTTGCACACTGAATACACCCTTGCCATTTGCTTTTTGGAGGACCCAGACTAACACACAGTGCTATGAAGAGCCTACTAGGTATCCCCAGAATGACCAGCAAACAAATAAAAAAATGTCTGCTCAGACTTCGAGGTTGACACCCCTGACCTACCATCATTCCCCATGGAAGACAAAATCTTTTCTCGTTCTTCCCATGGTAAGGCACTCAGGGTGGGCATGTCATCAGGAAACACAGCTCGTTTTCGGCCAAGGGCAACAGCAGCTCTTCTGCAGACATGTTTAATGCGGGGTCCTCGCACAGAGGTCTCTGATGAATCACTTTCTTGACCCTGAATAAGAGGCAAGTCAAAACAAACAACAGCAAGCATACATGTTGAAAATGTAATTAAATGAAGCCAAGGTATAGCTGGTAAGTTATTACAATCTAGGATCAACACATACAACTCTAGCTATTCCCAGCTGATAAGCCATGACAATCTATAGAAATCGACTAGTTCTATATCCTGAAATTGACAGCCAAAAGGGGGGGGCAGGGTTTTTAATCAAAAAACAGAAATCAACTAAATTTCTATTCCCCATTATACTACTGCTTCAAAATTCCCCTCAAAATTCAAGCTGCCAGTCTATGTTATCCAAAGTTTGGCCTGGAGTTAACAGGGCTTATCTAATCACAGACTATTTCTTCTATTTCCCTGATCAACAGAGAAGTAGGGGAAACAACTTATAAATGTAAGCATGAAAGGCCACAGCCTGCACAGAAGCGTCTTGCATTTTATTTTTTCAAATTAAGTCTCTTTTTTAAAAATTTTTTTATTTTTAAAGATTTTATTTATTTATTTTACAGAGACACAGCGAGAGAGGGAACACAAGCAGGGGGAGTGGAAGAGGGAGAAGCAGGCTTCCCGTGGAGCAGAGAGCCCGATGCGGGGCTCGATCCCAGGACCCTGGGACCACGACCTGAACTGAAGGCAGACACCTAATGACTGAGCCACCCAGGCGCCCCACGTCTTACATTCTAAAGAGCCACTGCTCCTATTACTAGGAGGCTAACCAAAATACGTCCAAAATGGTATCAGAAATAAATCCCATCATCCTCCTGCTAGAACTCTCAACTGGCAAAATTACTAAATGTAAATATGGCCCTAGGTTGAATAACATGAAAAACCTAAATGTGTGGTCATCTTAACCTAACTTGGTGTGTTGGCATAAATATGTATCTATCACATGGCAATTTTAAAAAAGAACCTAAAGATCCGTGGGTTTTCTCAGAAAAGGCCAGTGCCTAGTTACCTTTGTAAAAAGAAAAAAAAAAAAAGAGCTGTTCTTTGTAAAATTTGTCATCATCTTAATGAACTGAATCCTACAGTTTTTCTGCCTGCAACTTAAGGCTAAGTGCTTCTCATCTGTGTTCTGCAAATACCTACCATCTATCGCTCTAATCACTCACTGCTCAGAGGAAGAGAAGCCTCCCCCCCATTTTCTTTGGTAAATAATAGTAAAACAATGTGACTACAAAAACGCACCTTCAACATTAGGTCACAGATTCCACTACACCAAACCCATGAAGTACAAACTACCTTTCAGTCTTAAGTCACCACCTTCCTGTGCATCCCAGTCCAGCGATCCGCCGTTCCTCTCAAATGTGTCTCATACTTTTTCATCTCTACCCACACTGTGCCCTCTGTTTAGAATATCCTCCCCTATGGCGCATGGGTGGCTCAGTCGGTTAGGCGTCCGACTCTTGATTTCAGCTCAGGTCATGATCTCAGGGTGTGAGATCAAGCCCCGAGTTGGGTTCTGCGCTGGGCGTGGAGCCTGCTTCAGATTCTCTCTCTCTCCCTTTGCCCCCTCCCCCCACCACCTGCTTGCCCTGGCGTGAGGGCACGTGCGCTCTCTCTCTCAAAAAAAAAAAAAAAAAGAAGAAGAAGAGGAAGAATTTTCTCCCCTGTCATTTCCTACCTATCAAAATCCTACCAGTCCTTGAAGGGGCACTGCAAATGCCACCACTTCCCCTGCCCTTCTCCTGATTCCCAGAACTAGACATCACCGAAACACTTCGCCGAAAACTCACTGACAGAAGAGGCTTGATAAACTATTAAGTTTAACAGGCAAGATGGAAAAGAGTACCTGTGCTTTGGGCTGGTCGGTTTGTTTAAGACTCTTACTCTTCTCAATCTTGCAGAGCTGGGCTTTGGCCTTTTTTAGGAGGCTGGCAACCCTCTTGTCCGTCATAGGAAGCTTGTCTGCCTGAGCCAACATGGAGCCTATGGAGGAAGTGGAATGTTTAACAGTGCTAGATGAAGGAGTGGAAAGGCAGAGGGTTTTCTCCTTCTCCAGGGATGGGGCAGTTGGGCCGAGGTCCAAGTTGTTTTTTTCCAGATTTCCTCTCCCTTTCTTTATAAGTATTTTGGTTTTGACAGCTGTTGTATCCCCAAGAGTCACAGAAGCAATATCAGTCCCAGAATCAAGTGATGAAGACTTCTTCCGCCCTGTTGCTTTTTTGGCAGAAGATGAAGTGGCAACATCTTCACTGACAACCTTGTCTTTGGAAACCCTACCCACAGGATACAAAGCAGAACTACTCTGAATTTCTGATCCCTTTTTCCTTTTCTCTTTCCTTGACTCCCGCTTATTCTCTTTTTCTCTCTCCCGGTCTCTCTCTCTACTCTTGTCCTTCTCCACGCTCTTGTCAGCATCTCGATCTTTGGACAGCTCCTCAGGGGCCTTGTCTTTATTTCTCCCTCTTTCAGTCTGAGAGCCTGGGGTAAACCAAGGGAAGAGAGGAGTGGGGCTGCCAGATGAAAATGGCTCTGCTGGAGCGCTAGCCTGCTTCCTTGGTCTCTGGCTTTTCTCTGCAGATTCCCCAGACTGAGTCAGGGAATGAGAAGGAAAAGTAAAAGTTGGGTTTAAGGCACTAGTGGCAAGAGGACTAACAGATATGCTTAACGAGGAAGAGACAGAAGACGGCGGGGTGAGAGGTGACAGCTCAGCAGTACTAAGCCTTCCACTTCTTGTCCTCATGGAGTGAGAAGGAGATCTTGGTTCAGATCGAATAGGGCTAAAGACTTTTCTTTTCCTTTTTCTGTTGGATACTCCTGAAGAAGATGTTCCAGCAGAAGTTCGATTACTAGGCAAGGTGACAGACTCAAATATTCTAGAGTGAGCCTCACTTGGAGTAAATCTCGGAGCTCTCAGAAGAGGGCTCCTTTTGTGCATATCGAACCTTGTTCCAGAGTGGAGTGGTGAAAACAATCGGGCTGAAGCAGCAGTACCGGATGCAGAAAAACCGGACGCGAAGCCAACATCCTCAGGAGTTAGTGGAGGGGGTCGGAAATTATCAAATATGGGTTTGCGAATAAGACCTTCTTTGGCATACTTTGCTGAGGAAAAGTATTGTGGCTCTGACCTAGAATGCTTTAAGGAAGTCCACCTAAACGTTGGTTCTCGCAAAATAGACTTGCGCTTCCCTTGCATAGGAGCAGCAGAAGCAGGCAAAAATGGTGATGCTAAGGGGATCGTTGGAGGCATGAGCCAAGGTGTGTGGTCAGAGATGCCGGAGGCTGGCTGCAGTGGCGGGGGTGGAGTAAGCAGAGGTGGAGGCGGAGAGGAAGAGGGCTGCTGCTGGGGGGCACTTTGTAGAGTTGATAGCTTTTTAGTTGTTCTAGATCCAAAACTTCTCTCTGACACGGAATACCTTCTGCTTCTCCTATCATTACTATCGTTTTCTGGGGACTGGGAAATAGGCAGTGGAGTATGAACTTCGGGGGTCTCGCTCCGCTCTTCAGGAAGTACCTGAATCTCCTCAGAGGCCTGAGAATCTGTGGAGGTATCAACACTGGGGCTACTAGATCGGGAGGAGTCTGAAGACATCTGAGAGGAGTGCTGAGAAGCTGCACTTGATTTTTCAGAAGATCCACAGGACGTGGCACTGAATCTACTGTTCGGTGTAGACTCTAGTCGGGCAATTTTAATCGGAGGGTCATAATCCTCATCCTCTATAAACCGCCGAGGGGTTTTAATGATCCGTGAGGAGATGGCACTGACAACGGGCATAATGAACTGTCGAATGTTTTTGACCTGTGTCTTCACCTTTCTTCCCTGCAGCTGAGCTGCTTCTTTCTCAATTTTCTTTTGAGCCCCCTTTTTTGCCCTCTGCAAGAGCTGCTTAGCAATTGTTGCATCTGTCCTTTTAGAAGAAGGAATAATCCTCACCGGCTTAATCCTTCGAGGGCTTTGTCTGACTACTGTCTTATCTTCTTTTGTGAGTGGAGGTGTTCCTTCCTTGTCCTTCCGGACCTTCTGGGGCTTTTCCAGTTCAGAGTTAATGAGGAGGCCTGAAGGGGTCTTTATCCTTTCTGTCGATGGAGGCCTTCCTCGCCGTCGGACAATCTGTACCCCCTTCCTTCCTATTTGAAGCTTCCCTGTCTTAAACTTAGACTTGAGAGGAGAGAGTTTACCTGCTCTTAATTTTTTAATCTTTGTGGCTTGTTGAAATGTAGCAGAAGGTGTCCGTTTAATCTTTTTCAAGCTATCTTCTTTGCTTCCCTTTGGTAGCTCTGAAATGTCCTTTCCATGTGTTATTTTGATTTTTACTCCAGGGAAGGTGGGGGGTCTTCCTCTCTTCTTTTCTATGCTTTTAGAATCTTTCTTCTTGATCTTATCTCCAGATTTGGTCTCTGATTTATTTAGAGGGGAAAACACAGACGGATCTGAGAGGATAGCTGAATTTCGGTCAGAGCCACTTCTAGGTCTCCCGCGAGGCTTTCGAGGGCTAGTTTTAACTGTGTATAAAAATTAAACAATGAAGAGCATACATTTAGCTTTGTAGTTCAGGTCGCAACTAAGCTGAACATACTTTAGCACAAGCCATTTTGTACTGACCTCTACTACCTGGTCTAGTGAGTCACTTAAACATCTTAATTGGGCTTAGCTTCTTTTCACCAAAAACTTGCCTCAAAGAAACCAAGTAAATAACATTCCACCTATAACATCTAACTTTTGGGACAGAACAACTAAGATAATGATAACAGATTTTCAACCCAGCAATTAATATGCAAAACTGATTTTCCTACCATTTCAGGTGAGTGAGGGTTTTTTTTTTTTAATTTAAAAAAAAATAGGTTTACCAAAAAAATCTATGCCACCTTTTCCAAATCCTAGCCACTAAGATTAATATTTGAGAACATGTTCATAGGAAGTCATCCCATCTTTTCGGTGGAATTTTGGCTTTCACAAATTTGAACAAGGAGCTCTTTGATCGATAACATACCAACTTTTGTCAGGAAAGCACCTGGGCAGCTCAGCTTCCTATAGTTTCAGTCTGTTTTGTCCAAGTAAACTAAGAAAGCTTTATTGAATAGAAAAATGTTCATCCATGAGACATCAGAATAAGATCACTGAACTCAGTGGCATGTGAACTCCTCAGTGAAGTGACACGATGATGTGTCCATTAATCTACTCCCCTACTTACAGGTTCTTGAACTAGTTAGTCCCAGGTTACAAAAAAGATTTAACCCTAATTGACGTCAAGAGCAAATCAACAATTTATTAAATCAGACTTCTTCTAGTCTAAATAAAAGGAATTTGCCAATTTATAAAGCAGCTCAATTTGCTACTTTTTCAAGAGACTTGAGAAAACAAGGCTGTTTTCTAAAATTCTTTGTATAAACCTGGATTTTCTAAATGGATTAAGAGTTTCCTGGTCTCTCACAACTTCTCTTCCCTCATGACTTTCCATGTCTGATATGACTCAACATTCTTCTGAGACTAAAACCTCCCCTAACAGGCATCAAAAGACATTTATGCCAATATGATGAACATTTTAGACTATGGAACCAACTTCCTAACAGAACAGAAATCAACAAAGGTCTTACTCTTGAGCTTTCTAAATATAAATGTTTTTCTCACCAATTAAGTTGAAACTTCCTTTAATACATTAAGGATTCATAAATCCATTCTCAATATATATTAATTACAACAAAAGTAATGGACTAGGAGACAGCAGGAAAACTAAGTTTCATTTCTTAAATAATGAAGCATACCCAGATGGTTTAAAAAACAAAAACAAGACAACATTCAAGGTAGACTGATAACCATTCAAGGAAAGGTTGTGAATTACTCCTACCCAGAAGTATATCACAAGATTCCTTATCATCATGCTAGACTTGAACCTGGCCACTCATAGGGCTTTATTAATCCGGAAAACCTCTTCTATCCAATTTTTAAAAGAATTTTTTGGTGGACAAGGAGAAAAACCAAAACAGAGAAGAGTCCAGCTCTGTTAATCACAACATATTCAGAGAACTCAAAAGTCAGTTATGCGTAACTGCATCATATATTTTCCCGGCCTCATTTTGTCATCTAGAAATGGAGGGTCAGACCAGATGATCTCTAAAATCACGTTCCTATAGGAAGTTTTAGGATTTCATTGCATCTTCATGAGAACACGGCTACTATGTATGTGGCACAGACACTGGGGTACTACAGGCTAACTCCTCCCGACTGGAATGGCAACACTCCCGCCATTTGGGAAAAAAGATACTGTCAAGTTATGTGTTTCAATTAAGATTACTATACAAACATTATGACTCTTAAATGAAACCCAAATGCTAACAAACATCAAGAACTAAGTCGCTGTCAAAGAGCAAAACCACTAACAACATCACATTTAACTAGACTGTCCATCTAGATCAAAGTAAAGCAAACCATAGAAGTCAGAATGCCAGCACAGATGGGAAATGGTTTTTTCCTCAGAAGATCCCTCCCCTGTACAGACTAGAATTCTGCAAGCCACTGCATGTTATTTCCACTGAGGACTGTCTCTCAGGAAACTTCTCGAAGTCTAGAATTTCAAGACATTCTAGATATTTTCTTGGCGAGAACAATGACAAATATCGCTTAAAAATGGAAATACCCCCATATCATTTTTATTTTTATTTTAATACCGCCTTTCAAGGATCAGATAAAATAAATATTTTGTTTTTATTTTTTTGGGTTTTTTTATTTTATTTATTTTATTGACTAGAGTAGACCAAATTTCATCTGTAAAAAACAACAGTCAGATTGTTCCCAAAGTTGTATATACTACTGTATCATTCAAAATCTATGAATCTGAGGATGCTCTGAGTAGGTTACCTTCAATTCAACTACCAGATCTTTTAGTCATTCCATGGAAATTGACCACACACACACCCCCATGCCCCCCCACCTAGTTCCCAAAGAGAAGCATTATAAAGAATAAAGCATAAGTGGCCTGACAGAGAAGAGCCCTGTAAAGAGGTCTAGCTCATAAGCCATCTCTTACTTAGTGCGAGAGAAAGGGAAGGATGCAAGCCCCCCCACCCCCGCCCAGTATTTAAGATCATCCTTTACATGCAAAGAAAGCAAGGGGAAGCCATGGTCTCTTAACAAACAAAAGGCACCATGCACTTAACTGGCCATACCTGAAGGAGACCTTGTGGGACTTCGTACTCGGACTTCTTCATCTGAGCCAAAACCTAAGAACTGCTCATCCTACAACAAAGGAAAATTATTTTAAAATCAGAAACAAAAACACAAGTGTGAACATATCCCAAAGAAATGCCCAGAGGAGACACAAATGAATTTGGAAAATCAGACTCTATATATTAATCATTATCATTTATATGGATAATATAAAACAAGTAATATTGAAATAAATGGACCCAGTCATACAGCTTCATTACAGACAAATAGGAGCTGTGTAGTAATTGAACAAAGCATTGAAATGTCATCTTTGGTGCATAGTACACAGGGGATAGTCCTTAATTTCAAACTATAGATACAGCCCAAAACAATTAAAGAACGGCTTTAATTCAAGCAAGCAAATCAGTACAATGGCAGAAATATACAGCCCCAATAAAACAAACAAATCTTTTCAACAAGTAGATAAGTTTACACACACATAAGGAATAACATAAACCATATCATAATCTCTTGTCTACTAAATATTAATAGAGACTGAAATTGCCATAATTGTCAGTTCCTTAACTCAGGAATTGACATTTAGATGTGATTTCTATACATTTGAGATCCAAAGATTCTCAACATGCATTTTATGGCATCAATTTAAAATGCCCTGTGATAAGAGACTTAATGGTGGGCAGCAGCATCTGTGAAAGGGATCATGAATTGACCGCATACAGGATGAAATAATGCATTCAAGAAGAACTTACGGAAGCATCTTACTCTCTGTTATACTTGGAAAAGGCAAAAGGCAAAAACTTCCCCTTACCTCTAACTTTTAACCTGCCCTTTCAAAAAAATCCTTAAGGATTTAACTTATTTTGACAAGTTCTCAAGAAAGGTGGTCTATTTAAACAAACTGATTAACAGAAATTCACTGATTCAGAAACAGTTCTTTCCCGAAAGAGACAAGAGAGAATTTCAAATCCCTGAAACAAAATCCACATACAACAAGAATAAAATAAGGATTGAGAGACAGATTTTCTTGAACCTCCAATTTATACTGATAAGCCTAGCCCCAAAATATGTTCCAACAATTAAAGCCCCAATTTTCCTCTCAAGAGCAAAGACCACATGCATATGGACAACATCTGTGGATTTTCTGAAAAGTTGTTTCCCCAGTTAGTGTAAAGCTAGAGTCAGGGGCTAATCTGTTCAACCACTTATTAATCAGGAATATATGAAAAGATACATGCAAACTTTTAGACAAATTAGCAGGTTCAGCTCTTGAATTTAAATGCTTTAAGAGGCAAAATGTTTGAGTCCAAGACCTTGCAAACTATGCAACTGAGAGGCAGTTCTTGGAATCTAAGGTTTTTGTTCTGAATGCTAACATTATTAAAGCATTTAACTATTTAAGAAAAACCTGAAATTATCCTCTTCAAAGGGATTTGTCTGAAAAGCACTATAATTCTAAGAATGTGTAAAACCTAAGTTTAAAGAATACAAGAGTAGGGTGCTTTTTACAGGGCTTTCTCTCATCATTAAATTAAATTTAAATTCTTATTATGAATATTATTTGTGAATAAGAGTAAATCTACCTCTTCATCTTAAAACAAGTTAGGACAACCTCATACATGTGGGGCTTAACCCCAAATAAATTTCTGGAATGACTCTCAGGGTTTTACACGTGCAAACTACAACATTACAAAAAGAGAAGCCCAAACTCACAAGACCCAATTAATCCCAAAACCTGTCACAATAATGGAAATTCCATACTGTTAAATTTTTTTTTAAAGTAAGCTCTATGCCGAACATGGGACTTGAACTCAAGAGCCCCAGATCAAGAGTCGCATGCTCTACCAGCTAAGCCAGCCAGGTGCTCCCATATTGTTAATTTTTTAAATATACTTTTGGGCAGGAAAAAAGGACATTTAAAATAGTAATCCTACAATGTACTTTGAGAAAAAAAGCAGGCAAAGAAAATAGCCCCGTGGTAAGCTGCCTCAAATGCTGAAGAAAAAAAAAAAAATCAAAAACAACAAAAAAAAATGGCAGTACCTTAGGATTTTAGAGGGGCCCAGTCCACCACTGGCGTGTCGGCACATGACATGAGTAAGGAGCGCACGTGGACCTCGACTGAGGACTCAGTTCTAGCACTTCCGGGCTATATGATCTTAGACAAGTAACTTACTATTTTTATGTCTCAATGTCTTCGTTTACTGAAGTGTTGTAAGGAGTAAATGAAATAATTTATGCAAATTATGTAATTACATTATGTAAAATCACTCAGAAAATTATAAGGCAACATCCATACTGTAGTTCTTATTGTTGATGTGGTTTTAGAAACTGACTGGAGGGGCCAAATGACTTGCCTAAGATCATACAGTTAGTTACAAAGATTTCCTACCAAAAAAGTTACAATTTAAAATTATAAATATTTAAAGGAATCAGATAAATAATCTCCAGTACAAAATTTGCTATTCCTTCAGCTACTGTGAAAGTTAACATGACGCCCATTTTCAGATCCTTAAAAGTTTGATTTAACTCATTCTTTTCCTGCATTATCCTCATGGAACGACACGCTAATCTAGACACTTCACAAAGACTCCTGGAGGTTTCCCAACACTACCCAGGGACTAACTACACTGCTACATGCGTGAATTTTATGCTCCTAGTGCTGCAGGGAGAGAGTTCTAGCAACTATACACATAATAACTAACATGTGAAGTATCCAACAGGTGAGGTAATAAAAGATTATTAATCCTTAAAAGAAATGGAAGAGATCCACACTGCTATGTTCACCATCAGCCACCCTGGTGAGGCACTATACAATCCTAATTGCCATGCGCTCCAAAACAGAGTACTCCTGAGCTGTCAAGCGGTAACAGAACTGCCAATGTTTAAATTTCACAAGTACTTTCCAACATGACAGAAAGTGTTAACTCTTTCCTTATGATCTCGTAGTTGGAATAAGAAAAGAATGAGTAGTCAAAAGACTCCACCTCCCCCAAGAACTTTCTTTTCACTTGAAATATAGGTTGACTTCTTCAAGCTTGCTTAAAAAGTAACTACCAATTGCTTAAATCATCCAGTTAAACCAAAAACAAAAGCCTGCATTGTTATGTTAAAGAGCTCTAACCTGACTCTGAACTTCCAAGGAAGAGCCGTAAAAAAAAAAAAAAAAAAAAGAGGGGCGCCTGCGTGGCTCAGATAGTTGAGCGTCTGCCTTCGGCTCAGGTCATGATCTCAGGGTGTGAGATCAA